TCGCTCGGGCGGCTGCGGCTGGGGGCGGACAGGGCATTGAGGAGAGCACTGTAGTGGGATCGATGGCAGCCAGAGATGTCCATGGTACGCAACGAGCCGCACACATGGCCATGCAGCCATCTCGATTGACGCCTGTGTGTGTGTGTGTGTATCAGATCTCCCCGACCCGCGTCACACTCGTTTGCCGCCCTTGGACATGAAGAAGACTCAGAGCCTCACGCAGGCTGAGGATGCCGCCGGGCCATCCGCAGGCCTAGACGACGAGGATGACGAAACTGGCGGCCAGGAGGGGGGCACGGACCATAAGGCTTCCCACGGTAAGTAGGACCATGACATGACCATGCAGCAACAATTGACACACAACACATGAATTGAAGCCTCACTTGTGTATTTCGCTCCAACGGTGTGAGTCAGATGGTGATGCGTCCATCGGTGCTGATGAGATGTCGGCGGATGGCTTTCGTGCCAGTGAGGGGCTCAGCGATACCGTCGGCAGCACCACCACCGCCACCATCAACACCAACACACGGGAGCAGGACGCCACTCATGTGAGCAGTACATATAAGCAAAGCAGGGCAACAATGATTGATGCAGTGCAGCTCTCCATCCATCTCCCTTATCCATACCCTTTGTCTTGTCCCCCCGTGTGCTGTGCTGTGGTGTGGTGTGCAGGGTGCGTCCAAGCCCACGTCGATATTCGGCTACCACCGGCGGGCATGGCCCCCCTCTCTGACCACCTCGTCACATGACAAGAAGGCGACACAAGACCTGAACCTGGACGGGCCAGTGGGCGGCAAGACGGCGGGGGGGCCGTTTGCGACGGTCACTGGGGCAGCGGCTGCTCGCGCGTCGTCGCTAGAGTGAGCGAGCGGGGAGGGGTAGGGCATTGTGTATGAGTGAGGCCATGTGTGTGTGTGTGTGTGTGTGTGGAGTGATGAGATAGAGGAGGAGATCGAGGCCGACGGTGAGTATGACGACGAGGAGTTCGAGCCCTCAGACGATGGACAGATCATCACGCGGGATGACCAGCCCACAGGTGGGTGAGCAATATTACTGACACAAACTTTCGGCAGACACGTGGAGATGGATTGATGTGTGTGGCGCGTCTGTCTGGTGTGCACCAGATGAGGGCGGCAGACAGGCCGATTTCGACCCCACTGCAGCCCCCCCATCGCACGATCAACACACACAAGACAACGACCAACCTACTGCTGCGGTGAGAAAGACGACCACCAGACGGACGGACGAATGAATA